TTTTCTTCTTCTTTTTACTGTGCTAGTCCAGAGCTCTGCCACTGAGGTACTTGCTCACCCCTTTCTGGTGGTTAATTTTATTCTTGAGACAGGGCCTCCAAGTCGCCCAGGCGGCTTCCAACTTGTGATCATCCCAACTCAGCCTTCTGAATAGTGTAGTGCACCCAACTCCTCCAGCATTTTCTTTATGAATTGTACTGCTTATATATGCTTTCTCAAAAATATGTTTGTTTGTTTTTAGGGGCAGCACTGGTGATTGAACTCAAAGGCACTCAACCACTGAGCCACATCCACAGCCCTAGTTTCTATTTTATTTAGAGACCGGGTCTCGCTGAATTGCTTAGCACCTCACCATTGCCGAGGCTGGCTGTGAACTCGGGATCCTCCTGCCTCAGCCTCCCAAACCCCTGGGATTACAGGCCTGTGCCTGTAAATACAAAAATGTATTTGTTAATTTTGGTAATTATTAGTGAATAGACTCACATGCTTAAGTACTTTCATAGATATCCTTTTTTTCCATATTGCTGCAAGTACACATCCATGATTTATCGAATTTCTAAATAACTTACAGGTGAAGTGCTTAAATTTTAGCAATTATTTTTAGGAACATCAGCTTAAATTTGAAAATAAGTTTGCCAAATTCCACAAACTGGGCTTTAATTTGAATTTATATTTAAATTTTGAGAATATTGGCATTTTCAAAGCATATTTATTAATTGGGCACTGGGCATTGAACACAAGGGTGCTCTAACACTGAGCTACATCCCCACCCCTTTTTAAATTTTTTAAAAAAATTTTGAGGCAGGGTCTCGCTTAGTTGCTTAGGCTGATCTTCATCTTGCAATCCTCCTGTCTCAGCTTCTGGAGTAGTTGGGATTATAGGCATGAGCCACTGAGCCTGGCTCCTAACGTCTTCATACTCTTCATCTTTCTGTGCTGCCCAGATATTCTTTTGAAGAACTACTTTCTAAACTTAAGCATGCATAGTGTCACCTGTAGAGCTTGTTAAAACACCACTTCTTAGGCCCACTCCACCAGGTCTCAGTTGGACTGGCATATGATCTGGTATCAGAATTATTACATTACCCCGAGCAATGTTTGTGCCCTGGCCTGCAGACCACACTTTGGGTCATACCTAGGAAACAAAATCCATTACAGTTTTTAAAATTACTATATGTTTATTTGTTGTCAGCCCATGAGTAGTTTTGAAGATAGTAAGTGTCTGTATTTTGTATTGCTTTGTTTTTGGCACCAGTGATTGAACTCGGGGCACTTATCCACAGAGCCACATCCCCAGCCCCTTTTTATTTATTTATTTATTGTTATTTTGAGACAGGGTCTCCCTAAGTTGCTGAGGTTGGCTTTGCACTTGGCAGTCAATCCTCCTGCCTCAGCCTCCAGAACCCCTGGGGTTACAGGCCTGGCCACCACACCTAACTGTTGCTTTTTTAAAACAGGTTGAGTGGAAGGTTTGGTTAGGGTACCTATATTACCTGTTGGAAACAAATCTGACCCTACCTTTTTAGCTCCTGCAACATTTTATCTAGTTGGTTGAAAGCTTAAAGATGGTGGAGTATACATAGATATGTTGAGTTCCTAGTGCAGCATACTTCTGGACTGAGAAAACAATAGTTGTATGATGTTCTCACATATATTTGTTGCTTTGTGTATGTTTGCTTGCATGGATAACACTGGTAGAAATAGTTGTGGCAAGGGCAAACATTAGTAAAATAATTTGTGCCTGTAGTGTTTGCATATGTTAATTCTGAATGTCCTGGTGCAGCATTATAAAGAAGAATATAGAGATAAAGTTATATTGGAAGAATTATAGCCACAAAAGAAAACTCACATTGGAATCATCTGAAAGGGCAAAATTAACCTTAGACTGTAACTAGATGGAAGAGGCAGATCTGTCATTGTGAGAAGTGTGGCTGGGCCTCAGAGGAACATGGGAGGTTCCTGGGGTGCTGATTCAAGAAGGCACTCACCCTTGGTGCCAACTCTGTGTTCACGTGAAGCTGAAAGCACTGTCTTGAATTATGTGCCCTGGCACCTTGTTGCCCCCGGAGTCCTGTCCCTGATCCTCTTAAGGGTAGAGTAACATTTGTGGAAATGGTATAGTAGAGCTGCTTTTACTGCATCGTGAAGAGCTGAGGGAGAAGTTAAACGACTCATTAACTCTGTAAAAGTAATCTCCATTCTCACTTATCCTTATGATGTCGTTCTGATTTTCATTGTTTTATGTGTCTCGTAGGAAACTTCTGAGTTCATAGACTTACACTTCTTCCTATATACCTGTGCTCCACATCCAGCCAGTCTTCCTGCTGTGCCTCTATATTCGGGGCCACCGATTCTTGGTGACTCTCATTCAGCACTGATAAGCCGCCGTGAAAGTGGTACAGTCATTGAGGTGAGAAATGGCCCAGAATTTCTGCTCTGACAGTGAAAGGGTCCCACAGGCCTGAGTTTGATGGGGATTACTCTCTAAGCCTGAGCCACCTGAGCACTTTGCCCCACGTGGAAAGTGTAGATGACGGGGCTCCAGGTCCTGGCCTCAGCCAGATGGCTGTGTCTTAGCCACTTGGTAGCCATTCTCTTCACAGGGGAGAGTGGATATTTGGTTGCATATTCAGAGACTCCAGTCCTCGAATTTCATTAGTTCTTCCTTTGTGTTATTGTCAAGGTTATGCACAGCTTTTACTTGATTAATTTCTAGGTACTTTATGTGTGCTAAAAGAATGTATGTAAGTTTTCTTTATGTAGCATACAGAAAACTGATTTTTAATCTTCATTCTCCAATTCTTTGCCAAGGTATGTTTCTTTCTGTATATGAGTGCTGTGGAGTGAACTCCAAGATTATTTGCTGAAAGTAAGAGTGATGATGAGGAAGATTTCTAATTCAGAAATACTGGTGAGACTTTCTTGGTCTCTGGGAGACTGGAAGGTGGGATGGCCTAGTTCGCTTATTTAGTATAGGTGTCCTTTTGGGGTTTGCAACTCAGTCTTTACCCCAACGGGGAGACTTTGTGTGCACACTGGTCTTTCTGAGTGCCTTCAGGGAGGAGGAGACAGATGGCTGGAATTACCAAGCTTTTCTTGCTGGAGACGGGTAGAAGGCAGAAAGAAAAGAATTTGGACAAAGAAGTGGTTGAGGTGATGTGGTGGCTTGTGGGGCAGTGAGAAGCATAGGTGCCTGCAGTCTTCTCTGAGGGGAGAGGTAATAGGATGAGAAAGATATGCAGGGCATTTTGTGCAGAGAATCAAGTTTCTTTTTTCTTTCTTGTTCTCTTTTTGTTTTGTTTTGGTTTGTCTGTTTGCTGGGATTTGAACCCAGGGCCCTTATGCATGCCAAGCGAGCTCTGTACCATCCCAGAAGAGGTGAGGCTGATTTCAGTGGTGAAGGTCGTAATCCATGGCTGTGTATGCCGATGTGGGTGCAGAGGGCATTGGAGAGAGGCACTTGTGTCCTAAGGGGAGCATCCTCTTAGACAGAGAGCCATCCTGAGTGAGGCCGGCCACCATGGTGAAAGGAAGATCACAACTGTGCCTGATGACACATGAGTTGGGGACAGTGGATATGGCTTCCCACTTGAGGCCAATCAGGGAGCTTCTACCACGTGGCCCGGAAGTTTGACCTACAGGAGGTAGAGGCCAACGATTGGGCAACTTGCTGCTCAGAGAGAAAATG